CCTTCTCTCACATACACAAAAGGTTAAAAAAAAGAATAAGCTGCCCTGCTGAGGTGGCACAGTGGGCAAAGGAACTTTCTGGCAAGCTGGTGAGCGGAGTTCAGTCCCTAGGACCCACTGGTGGAAGGAGAGATCTCTGCAAGTTGTTCTCTGACCTCCAAAGGGTGCCCTGACATGCATTCCCACCCACACTGCACAGATAAGCAAAATAAAACTCTCTAAAGGAAGTCAAGAGTTGGGTGTAGTGGCACACACTTTAAATTACAATGCACAGGAGGCAGGAGACAGCATATCTGCGAGTTCGGGCCAGTCAGGCTAGACAGCGAGACCCTGTCTCAAAACAGTAATACATACAAACACAAGTCAGTCTAAGCTAGAGCTTCCTGGAGACCAGGAAGGACGTGGGGAAGACGGGTATATACAATATTACTCAATGTATGTATGCATGAAAATGGTACTCTGCAGCTCATCAGCTTGGATTTTTGTTTTCAGACGGGTATCATGTCTGAACTGAACTACAATTCAAGCTGACCCCAATCTCACTACACAGGAGACGAGACCTTGAACTCCTGATCCTCCTGGCCCCAGTTTCACAGTGCTGAGACTACCGGCATGCGTCACCATCCTGGTTTTATGTTCCGCTGGGGATTTAATCGAGGGATTGGTGCACACTGACAAACACTGCAGCAATGGAGCTACATCCTCAGCCCCCACTTCATAAGACAGGGTCTCACTGATATTCCAGGCTATCCTTAAAGCCTGGTCCTCCCTGCTTCAGCCTCCAGAGTACAGGGATTACAAGTGTGCAACACCATGCCTACCATTTAATGCGTGCAATTAATAAAACAAACAAAAAGCCCAAACCAACCTGCCATTGAGTTTGACCTAGCATTATTCAGTCTGGCTGTGCAAGCAAGCCTATCTTCTTGGCTTTGTTCCTATTTTTTTCTCAAGGCATCTCTCACTTGATGACAATGCATAGTTTTAAATGCTTTTATTAACACATAATGGGTTTCGTTGTCATTTTCATACATATACACACATACATACATATATTTTGATTGTGTCCACCTCCATTACCCTCTTTGCCGCCTCCCATCTCTACTTCCTTCTGTCATCCATATATATATATATTCATATATATATTCTATTCATATATATATGAATGACACCATCTATATATATATATATATATATTGTGTGTGTCCCAGTAAGTTTTAATTAGGGTCGCTTATAGGATCATGGCCACCTCTGGTCACACCATGATTTTTTTGTTTTCTTGAGACAAAGAGTTTCTCTGTGTAGCCCTGGCTGTCCTGGACTCGATTTGTAGACCAGGCTGGCCTCAAACTCACAGTGATCTGCCTGCCTCTGCCTCCCTGGGTGCTGGGATTACAGGTGTGCACCAAGCCTGGCTCCATACCATGATTTTTAAGACAGGGTCTCACTTCTCAAATTAGTTGGGTAGCTGAGGTTTGAACTTTTGACCCTCCTGTCTCTAGTCCTGTATGTTGGGATTCTAGGTGTGTACCACCATGTCCATTTATATGGTTCTGGAGATTGCACCTGCACCTTTTAGGCAAGTACTCTATCCCCAGTCCCTGATCTCATTTATTATTTCATTCCCCTTCCAACTTCTTTTTTTTTTTTTTTTTTTTGAGACATGGTTTCTTCATGTATCCCTAGATGTCCTGGAACTCACTCTGTAGGCCAGGCTGGCCTTGAACTCAGAGATCTGCCTCTGCCTCCTGAGTGCTGGGAATAAAGGTATGTGCTTCTCACCCCTCCCCTTCTAGCTTCTTGAAGTTGGGTTTTCTTAGGTTCCTCTTATGTCACCCTGAGTTCTGCCTCAGTGACCTAGCTAAATTTTTACCTCTCACTAACGCTTTCAGAGAGCTGGGTGGTGTCAAAAGGCCAAAGTACCTTTTCTGGTGGGTCAGCTCAAACTAGCTAGAGCTAAGCTAACTTAAGATGAAGGGGAGCTCTCCACTATCATCCACCTGCAGGATAAACAGTGTCTCCTATCTCCTGACAGTTAATAGTTGCCAAGGATAAGGAATGCAGAGGGACACTGGAAAATTTCCAGAACCCCAGAAGAAAATTAACATTTATTTTTGTTTTATTTATTTACTTACTTTTTCAAGACAGGGTTTCTCCATATAGCCTTGGCTGCCCTGGAACTCACCCTGTAGACCAGGCTGGTCTCAAACTCAGGGATCCTCCTGCCTCTCCCACCTGAGTGCTAAGATCAAAGGCGTGCACCACTACTGCCCAGCAACATTTCTTTCTTTCTTTCTTTTTTTTAAATAACTTATTTAATTTTATTTTACGTGTGAAGGTGTCAGATCCCTTGGAACTGGGGTTACAGACAGTTGTGAGCTGCCATGTGGGTGCTGGGAATTGAACCTGGGTCCTTTTAGGAAGAGAAGACGCTGCTCTTAACCACTGAGCCATCTCTCCAGCCCCGAAACATTTCTTTTTATTAGTTAATACCCCATCTTCACTTTTTCCCCTTGAGATAAGAGTCCGGCCATATAGCCTAGGCTGGCCAGTTACTAGTTGCAGGCCAACACAATACAGGCTGGCCTCCAACTCTCCCTCTTCCTGCCTGGGCCTCCCATGCGCTGGGATTGTAGAAATGTAAGAAGGCACACTCCTCCCCTCATTGATTTCACTACCATACCCGAGGGTTGAGAAGTTGACCTTCCAGTCTGTCTCTCATTCTTGACAAGAGCAAAAGTCTCCCTCACTTCAAAGCTGTCGCTCTGTCTGATTAGTGGTAACAGAGATGGGGGGGTCATTGGGACTGTGTGTACCGGTGACAACAGAGCAGGGGTTACAAGCAGAGTGTCATCAGGTACTTCACCCGGAACGCTTAACAGAACCCTGCCTGTTTTAGGGTACTACCCCAGAGCCCCAACACCTCAACATCCTTTGCAAGGATGTCCGACCCACCCGACCCTTCAATACAGGGAGGCAACAATTCCTGGACCCCGATCAGCACTCCCATCTCGAGGCTGCTGCTGTTTTGGATTCTTCCTCTGGCTCTGCAAACCAGCATCTGGTTTTGCTCATTATTTGCCCTACAGATGGCCAGTGGTGTGTACAGATGCACCCTGGGATCTGAACCGGAGCTTCAAACTGCAGATGCCTTGTAGATGCTCAGTACACCTTTCCCGAAAGACCCCAAAATGAAGCAGATAGCATCCGTCTTCTATGAGGTACCTGGAGCACAGAAAGGCAGACCTGAGCTCACCTGACGGGGGCCTTGATGGGCATGATTTAACGCAGGTGCTCGGATTCCCAGCCCCAGTCTATTAGTCCCTATGTGGGGCTCAATGAAGAAGAAACAGAAAAGGAAGGCATAGGTGGAGTCACAGGCAGTTACCTAACAGTGGGGAAAGACCTGGATGCCGAGAGGTATGAAGTCAGGGGAAGGAAGTGAAGGGGAGGTGTGTGTGGAAAAACAAAACAAAAAAAACCAAAACACATTAAGTGTACCAGCCATCTCTTGGCCCTGCGCTTTACCTGTTTGAGGGCTCAGATGGGCAAGCCTTTGAGCAGGAAGTCAGGTACTCAGCAGGCACCAGGCAGGAGCTTAAAGAGCGGCCCTTCAGGATGTGAGGCCGGGTTAATCACTATGCCTGACTAAACGTGGGGGTCCTTGGTTGCTCTAGGCTGTGCAAAGCTGGTGTCCTTGAAAGGGATTGCCACGAATCTGCAAACCTAGATAAGGGAGGGTGGCTCCTACTGCTATCCCCAAGCCTCAGGTCCCAGGCCTGGGTAACGGTGGCTCAGATCTGCCGCACCTGGGGAACAAATAACTGCTCCCTCAACCACTTGGATGTCTCCTAATGTCACAAAAGCTGGACTTTCGACCCGATACCTACCAGTAGGAAGTAATCACCCTAGTTATTAGAAGAAACGGAAACACGTAGGCCCACAAGACAAAAGCAGTCGGCTGGTGGTGGGGTGTCTCCGTCAAGCCACCTTCTTTAAGGGAACTGACTTCCAAGTATCCTTGAAAGAGAATCGGAAGAAAATCAACACAGTAGCTCAGTTCTAAGGCAGAACTTCCTTTGCCTCTCTCCTCTGACCGTCCGATTCCTTTGTCCAGCCCTGCAGGACAGACGTGAGGAGGATACCGACTCTACTCAGCACAGGGTAGATACAGCAGGGATCGGTCCAGATGCCCTAGCTCTTGGTTGCCCCGTACTCTCCGTGACTGAAGTAAAAGTCTGTCCCGTCTCCACGCAGTGTATCTTTTACTAAGCCAGCAACAAGCTCCCTGATTCACACTCTCAGGATTGGCAACCTTCTCTTGGTACTCACCAGGACCGTCCTAGCGCTCAGGAGGACACAGAGCGCTACAACCTTCCTTAAACAGAGAAACTGCAGATCCTCTCCGAGGCACGAAGGCGCCGGCCCAGGCTTCGGAGTTCACAGTGGACCGTCGTCGGGTCTGCATTTCTGCAGTCGTGCTGGTCTGGATGGCTCTGGAAGCGCCGGCTTTGAAATGGAATTTTGGCTGGAAGGGGTTGGGCCACACCGGCACAGAGTGGAAGCGTGGTCGCAGGGAGATCCCCCTACACCACCTCATCTCTCCTCCTCCCAATTCTGGCATTTCGCCAGCGCCGCCAGACCAGCCGTTCCCTGCGCCCACACGAGAGGAGCAGGGAGGAGCGGCGCCCCAGGCCGGCCTTCCAGGCTGGTGGCCTCGCGAACTGGGCCCCCAGCGCCCGGGTCCCGCCGGGGCGCGCGCGCTTCCCAAAGCATCCGCGAAGGCCCACAAAGCTAAAGCCGGGGGCCCGCGCCGAGGCCGGGCGAGCACGGAGCGGGGCGGGGCCGGGAGGGCCGCGCGGGCCGGGGGTGTCGGATGTCACCCCCCGCGTACACCTCGGCCGGGAGGCGGGGAAGCGAACCACTGAGATGAGGAGACCTCCTCGGTCCTAGAGCGGTGCAGGAAGTGTCCCAGGGGAGGGAGCCGGAGGGCTCCGGCCTTTCCTTTCCGCGGCGGCCCGGCCTGCGCGGCCCGCCAACCGGGACGCTGCGCAGCGGTGAGTATACCGTGGCTGGGTTTCCCACGTCCTGCTGCCTGAACCCGGATCCTGCTCCCTACTTCCCGCGCTCTGATCCCCAGCCCTGCGCCTGGGTCCTGCTCCCTCTTCTCCGTTTCCCGCGCCCCGGCCCAGATCCCTGCTCCCAGCGCTGCGTCCTTATCGGTGCCCTCAGGGATGAAGCAATACGATTGTCTTTCAGGCGTCTCCATTCGCTCCCAAGCCCAGCTGATGCTTCCTAGATGATCCCAAGACAGGGTTGGCCTGGCCAGGGACCGAGTCTGGCTCATGCAAGAGGAGCCGCCTCGGCCGAGACAGCAGAGAGATCGGGCTGGAAGGTGAGGACCTGCTGCCCTGCTGTCCCAGGCTTCGCGGCGAAGAGCCAGCAAATCTGAGAGAGTGTAAGCGACAGAAACCCCATAGTTCTCCTAGCCTAAAACACCCTCCTCATTCCTTTCCTCGGATCCTGCTCCTTCTGAAACTGCTTTGGGCAAGCCCCGCCCCTGCGGGAGCCCTCCCCTCACTAACGGTAGTTCATTCATAAAGCTTCCGCTCCCGAGGCTCCTGCGCGCCAGGTGCCAGAGTGACAAAGAGGCGCACGCCTGTCTGGCCTCCGGGCTCTCAAAGAGCAGTCCCAAAGCCCAACTGCCGAGGGTGGGACGCTGGGTACCCTATGATGGGGCCAGATCTGAACCATTCAGGGCCCAGCAGGTGGGAGATAGTGGGCGGAGGAAGCTGGGAAGAGAACGGGCGGGGCCCAGATTGGTTTCTTAATACCGAAGTTGAGAGAGTAGTCCCGGTTCAGACTGTTGCTCTCTTGAGTTTTGCTCCGGGTGTTCTGTTTGCTTTTACTTCGGAAATCGAAGGACTACAAAAAAGTTGGGGTTCCAGGTGTTGTTCAGTTGTTTGGTAGCTTTTCTGGTATCGCTTGTCTTCCTGCAAAGTGGTGCTGCCCTGCCGGGAATCTCTTACAGGTGTGGTTGTGAAGGGCCAGTGGCCCTCCCTGGGATTCCCGGAGTCCTAAGAGGGATGTGTGGGTCAGAGAACACTGGTCCAAGTGGATTGGCCGCTCTATGCTGTGCCGCTTGTGTGTTGCTGGGGTGTGTGAGTGTGTTTGTGTGTGTTTATGATAGCCGGGAGCTATAGAGCTGCCCCAGCCCCACTGTGTGTGATGTGTGTGTGTGTGTGTGTGTGTGTGTGTGTGTGTAGTAGTAGTAGTAGTAGTAGTAGTAGTAGTAGTAGTAGTAGTAGTAGTAGTATTCTGTGGCTCTCAGAGTTCCTAGAGAGCTGAAAGCCTGGCCATGACTGCCTCCCTCCTGACCAGGAACGGCTGTGAAGGCAGCCAGCCTTGAACATGATTTGGAGAGAACAAGGGATAGGAGCAGATGTCAGACAAGTAGTTTTTGTTTGTTTGTTTGTTTGTTTGTTTGTTTGCAAGATGGGGTTTCTCTGTGCAGCCTTGGCTGTCCTAGACTCGCTTTGTAGACCAGGCTGACCTGGAACTCACAGAGCTCCACCTGCCTCTGCCTCCGGAGTACCAGGATTAAAGGAGTGCATGACCATGCTTAATAAGATTTTTTTTTTCTTAACTGCATGTATACCTGTGTAGATATCTTTGTGTGAGTGTATGCACTTGACTACAGTGCCCGTGGAGGCCAGAAGGGGTGTTGGAGTCCCTGGAGTTGGAATTACAGGGCTTTGTGAACAGCTGGAGTTGGGGGCTGGGAAAAGTAGTGTGCATTCTTAACCGCTAAGCTGACCCTCCAGCCCCCCAAAACAGATGGTCTGTAAATGGAGGATAAAGATTAGAGTTCCTATGTTGGACTCAGTTGGGTATAAGGCTTATCATATAGCACTGATATTTGGGAAAGGGGAGCAATTTTGGTGCACTAACTCAGGACCCTGTAACTTAATCACCGAGCTGCACAGTGGCCTCACAGTGGTGTCTTAAACAGTGTTATTTCTTTCTGGTAAGCTTCTATAGCTGCCTCTGAGTTCCTTTTCTGCCTGGGAGTGTCTATCCCTGCAGACACACGCTCTGTTGGGCTCTGGCCCATCCACTGTCCTTGTTCCACAATGGTCTTGGGTGACCCTTTCCTTACCCCTCCCCCCCAGTTCAATTTGTGAAGACGTCAGGAACAAAGACAGTTACTTTGGCTCCAGAGTTTCAAGATTGTGGCCTGCTGGGTCTATATCCTCCAGGAGGACCTATTCACCAAAGGTATCACAAACCTTGGTTACATGTATCTGCCCGTGACCTTGTTGTGCTCCCTGGATACTGGAAATGCCAGTGTCCTGTTGAAATGCCACCACTTTCCTCCCAGATTGCCTGCCTTCCTCATAGCCACCTCATTGCTCTACATGGAGTGATGCTTGTATTCCCATGTGAAAGGACCAACCACACCAACACTGCTTCCATTTCCCAGGGATTCCTCCAAGGGCTGGTGTCCCATGGGCTCTGCCTAGAACCCCCTCAGAAACAACCACAGGAAACCAGAGCATTGAAGCCAGTGATTTTTGTTTGGAAATAGGGTCGTCTTCTGCTGCTGACCCCCATCAAATCCCATCATGCCCACAGCCCTGTGCCCTCGAGTCTTGGCTCCAAAGGAAAGCGAGGAGCCCAGGAAAATGTGGAGTCCTCCTGGAGAGAACCCCAGCCCTCAGGGTGAGCCTCCCAGCCCAGAGTCCTCTCGACGCCTCTTCCGCCGGTTCCGGTACCAGGAGGCCGCAGGCCCGCGGGAGGCCCTGCAGCGCCTCTGGGAGCTGTGCCGGGGCTGGCTTCGGCTCGAAAGGCACACAAAGGAGCAGATCCTGGAGCTACTGGTGCTGGAGCAGTTCCTGGCCATCCTGCCGTGGGAGATCCAGAGCTGGGTGCGTGCCCAGGAGCCTGAGAGCGGAGAGCAGGCTGTGGCTGCTGTAGAGGCTCTGGAACGGGAGCCAGGGAGACCCTGGCAGTGGGTGAGCACCGGGCATCTGGGAGAGGGGAGCCCTGTCGACCCTGTGAGACTCCTGGCCCCGAGATGAGAGATTCTGTCCAGACACAGTGTTTGGTTTCCTAAGAAAGCAAACGTTGCTCTCTCTGAAGTCTGAGTTGAGGTGATAGTTGCCTGTCCAGTCCATAGCCGGCAAGACCAGAAGGGAAGAAGACCTCCCCAGACCCGTGCAGAGCCCACAGGCGGGGCTCGGTCACAGCCTCTCCACCAGGCCCTGACCTGTGCTCTCTGGGATTGCAGCTCAAGCACTGTGAAGACCCTGTGGTGATTGACGATGGCGATGGGCCTGGGCCTCAGGACCCTGAACAAGAAGGAATGTCGGCAGAGTCCCAGAGCAGCCCTGATGCCCAGCCTGTGGCCCTAGCGCAGGGCCCAGGGCTCCTAAGCAGACTGCCAGGCCAGCCTAATGAGGACCCAGGTATGCAGCTGTAGTGTGAGGTGGGGAGGGGTTCTAGACCATCAGTGTGCTCTGATGTTGACTAAGGTCATGGCCTTTTTACATTTGCAATTTTTTCTTGTCTCCTCTGAGCTATGAGCTTTGATCATGGTCTGGGTCCTTCCACAGAGCAACGGACACTGAGTCTTTTCTTGGTATTGAGTCCTCCCACAGGGAAGGCCTGTGTGAGCAGATGGTGTAAGGTCTTTCTTTGAGGGTGTTCTCAGTGGAGACAGAGATAGTCACTGTAGGACCAGCACCTATGGACTGTCTTCTGTCTTCTCAAAACCACATTTTCTCGGCTGAGTTACCCTGCAGCTGTAAGACTATCTAAAACCCCCTGGGAGGGAACAGTGGCCTCTGGCAGATGGCCCTAGTGCCCTGTGGCAGAGGGCTTGAGTGTCTGTTCAAAGCATCCAGCAGCTGCAAAGATGGGGTGGGGGGGGGGGGGGGTATAAGTGTAGGTCATCTCTTGGTTCCTTGAGGTTTGAGCCCAAGGACAAGGAATAATTCTCCAAAGTCCCCTGTTCCTCCTAACGGGAAACGTAAGTGCACTCCTGAGGTTTTTTTTTGGTTTTTTGGGTTTTTTTTGTTCGCTTCTTTTTTTGTGGCTTTTGGAGACAGGATTTTTCTTTGTAGCCCTGGCTATTCTGGACTTTGTAGACCAGGCTGGCCTCTCAGAGATGTGCCTGCCTCTGCCTCTGAGTGCGGGGATCAAAGGCGAGCGCCGCCATGCCCATCACATTCTTGAGATGTTTCGAAGTCTGGCGTTGGTCTGTCTGTGAGTGGGAGGTAGAGCGTCTGCTCAGCATGTGTAAGCCCCCAGGTCAGCCTCTAGCACCTCACCCGGGCTACAATCAAAGGCTGCCTTCTGGGTTTTCTGTTTTTTCTTCTCCTTTTCTTTCTCCTGAGTACTGCAATTACAGGCCTGCTTGACTGTACTTGACAATAATACTCTTTTTTTGTTTAAAAAAAAAAAAAAAAAGAAAGTGTGTGTGAGAGAGAGAAAGAGAGATTTTCCTGCCTGCAAATGTGTACTGACTTCTGAACAAATCAGAAGTCTTCAGTTCCTCTGTCTGGTGTGTTGGTTGGGTGGGGCTGCACCTGTATTCAACACATGCTTACCTAACACATGCTCCGTGGCTTACTGACAGCAGCTTCTTCTCTCACAGCTGTGAGGCTGCAGTCTGACCTGAAGGACACGCCAGCTGTGGGTCCTTCTGAGCTTCCTTGTTTTAGCAGATAGACAGCTGCTTCTCGATGTATCTTCCATGTGCATAACTGTCTTCCAGCTAACTCTCCTTAGTGATGTCAGTTCTGTTGGGCCTGTGCTTGTGACTTCTCTTTGACTCAATTGAACCTTTATAGGGAGCCTTCCACGTATTCTGAGGTGCCTTGGGTTAGGATTTGAGCATGTGAATCTTCAGGGAACATAGTTCAAACATATCAGGAAATATAAGGAAAGAGCCACTCCCCCAAATGGACAGTACTGTGCAAGCAGCCTTTGCATACCTGTGAGCAGGAATCTTCTCGAACCCCAGTTACATCCACTATCGATTTGGATTGCTTTCTGGGGCTGTCCTCAATGCAGAATTTCCTGGTTAACAGCAGTTGGGAAAACAAACATAATTTACTGGACCTACAGCTTCTAATTGTGCAGCTCTTCCCCCAAAGCTAGGCTTTGTTTCAGGAGAGTGAGACATCGATCCATCCATGACAGGTGGCAGGCATTAGGCATCAGAGCTAAAACTTGTCCTCCAGATACCACAAAGAACTTGAAAACTTTGCTTGGGAAATCTACGATATAACATGATGACCATAGTTAGAAGTAATGCACATTACTCTCTGTTCACTGAGATCAGGTCTCATTAGCCTGGATAACTCAAGCTGGCCTTGGAGTTTGGACGATTGTTCCTCAGCCTACCAAATTCCGGGATTGTCGCTCAGCTCCACCCTGTTAAGTTTTTAAAGTTCCATATATGAGCAAGATTGAGCCATGCTAGTCAGCCTGTGCTTGGTTTATTTCTCTTACGGTATGCTTTCCAGGGTCATTCCTGTTGCACAGGTGATAGGATTTCACCTTTTTATAGCTGAATAGTATCTCAAGTGCTTGCATATTCTTTTTGTCTCTGTCCCTAGTTTTTTTGGACAGGTCCTCCTGATTGCCATGGAACTTGTTATGTGGACTCAAACTCACAGAGATCCACCTGCCTTTGCTTCTCAAGTGTTGGGGAAAAAAAATCTTTTAAGAGACAATATGCAGTTGGATGTGGCGGCACACACGCCTTTAATATACACACACACACACTCACACATATATAAAGTGTTCGCTTGTGTTGTGGAGTTTTCAGTTTTTCCCGTCGACCCTTCCTCGTCCTTCTCTTCATTTCTCCTTGTATTCTGCCCCAGTAGCCTCCTTCCCAGTTTGTCTCACATGTATCCCCTGTCCTCCCCGCCCTTTCTTACCTCTTCTTCTCTCTTATAGACCATGTTTTCTTTATCTGTTCATCTGTTGATAAACACTGTGATCTCATAACAGCTATTGTGACTGACTTCCCAGGGAACTTGAGAGTGAGGTTTCCTTTCTTTTGGGTTTATATGCACAATAGGGTGGTTAGGTTGTAGTTTTGCTCTTTTTTTTTTTTTTTTTAAGATCTGCTGTTCTTCCTAATGGCTGTGCTAATTCATGTTCTCAGTAATGGAACAAGGATTCTTTTTCTGCATTCTTACAACTTAGATAACAGTCTTGTGGAGCTTCTGCAGGTATCAAGCTTACAAACAAATAAGGTCCCACATTGGTCCTCGCCTTCACTGAACAACAGGACCACAGTTCTAACCTTCATTTGGCCGTTAAAATATTTGTTATGTGCCTACATAAGGGTGCAAACGTCGTGTGATGGTCAGAAGACAGCTTTTTGGAGTTGGCTCTTTCTGCCGTGCAGGTCCCTGGGATTGAACTCCAGTCATCATTAGCAGCAAGCGCCCTTACTGATTGAACCATCTCACTGGCCTGTGTTTATGGTTTTTTTTTTTTTTTGTTTTTTTTTTTTTGAGACAAAGGTGGTTTCATAATAAAGTCTGGCCATTTCTCCTGCCTCCACCTTCCAAATGCTGGGATTGCAGTCATGTAACACTATACCTGGCTCTTGGGCATATTTTAGCTGCTGAAACAGGTTCCTGGAGCTACAGACATTGAATAGCTAATTGATCGGGCCATCCTAACCCCAGGCATTCCCTGTGATAGCCCCCATTGTCTATCTGAAAAGACTGCCAGGGTCCTTATGGTTTGCAAAGTGCTCATTTTGCAAGTTAAGGCAGAGTGGGGTTCATGCAGAGCACCAGGAATGCTCCCAGTTGCTCCCCTCTGCTCTTTCCTGGAACGTTCTGCAGCTCCGAGCCACCCCTGGACGACTGGGAGGTGTTGGGGACCAGGCCCGGCTCCCGTTGGGACATCTTTTTCATCTCTTCCAGTTCCACAAGATGCTTTCGTTGTTCAGGAGCAGAGTGTGAGGGAAGCCCAGCCGGTGACCACTTGTCAGCTGCCCCCGGTGAGTGATTTCCAAAACCATTCATCTCTGAGTGCCCCACGCTACAGTTTTCTCAGGACCCTGGCCTGCTTGCTCTTTGCCACCGGATGCTCAGCCTTAGCCCAAAGTGCCCAGAACTAAGCTTTATGATGCCCACTGCTCCTGCTGTTTCCTGTCTCTCAGAGTGCTGCTTGCCAGGCCACTCCAGGAAACTGCAGACACACATGTAGGGCCCCTGGAGGAGACTTCTCTGCGTTTCTAAATTCCCCCGGCGAAAAGCAGAAACCACTGCCCCTCACTTCACAAGGTGTGTTTTGATGAGGCGCTACATTTGAGAGACAAAGCATAGCGCTTGGCGTACCAGCACATGACCATGGGTAGGTCACATGGGGCTTCCTTGCTGTGCCCTGTCACTGTTCTTGGCCAAGTTCGCTCGCTTCAGTGTTCTGAGGGGAATGGCTGGTATTTGGAGTGGGCGCAGCTGGGACCTGGTCTCACAGGTGGAGTGCTCATTTCTTCATCGGCCAAGGTTCTCAGCAGACCTCTTAGCTTTTCCGCTCTCATTGCCCTTTCTGCTGCTCAGTGTGATACTGCGGTGTCACCTCCCGCTGGGGAGCTGCAGCCTCCACAGGTGCACCGGTAGAAGACTGTTTAACAAGTGGTGGTGCACAGGCAGGGGGCGGAGGCAGGTGGATCTCTGAGTTAGAGGCCAGTCTGGTCTAAGAGCGAGTTCCAGGACAGCCAGGCCTGCACAGAGAAACCTAGGCTCAAAAGAACAAAACCAACCAACAAAGAACAAGAGACATGCAGGGTTGACAACCCCTCTCAGATGCTTAGGGCTACTGGTGTTGTGGTGATGTTGAAATATTTGCGTACATAAAATGAGAACTTGGGATAAGACCCAAGTTTATGCATTTGATTATTTGTTTCATATATATCTTTTATATGCGAACTGAAGTTCATTTTATTTTATAAGAGTTAATTGTGTCTGCTGCCCTGCGATCTGCCAATAATCATAGGCTTTTGAGGCTAGTTTAGGCTGGGAGTTCTGTCTACGGCCCCAGCTTGTACCCTGCCCTTCACTTTGTAGCATCAAGAGATTTGGGGATTAGGAAACAGATTGTTCATACTAAAGCTTTACTGGTCGTAGATATCAGGACAGAACAGAAACTGTCAAAGGAGAAGGGAAGGCACCTGGTCTGTGAAGAGAAGGGTTTGGTTTGTTTGTTTGAGACAGGGTTTCTCTGTGTAGACTTGGCTAGCTATCCTGGAACTCTGTAGACCAGGCTGGCTTTGAACTCAGACATCTGCCTGCCTCTGCCTCCCAAGTCCTGGGATCAAAGGCATGTGCCACCACCACCCTGGATTCCCTTTTTTTTCTCTGAGACAGATTCTCACACTATACCCCAGGCTAGCCCTGCGCTCACGGCAGTCTTTTTGCCTCAGGCTCCCAAGCCCTAGTAGGTGTGAAGGTGTGTACCACCATGTCTGGCTCTGACATCTTCCTGCTTCTTAGCTGGTTGTTTTCAAGAGCAGGCTCTGCCGGGGCTCTGATGGAACTTCAGCGGAGGGAAGCTACATGGGACAGATGGTTTTCTCTTCCTCCTCTGGCCGAGCCTGAAACGGAATTACAAATGACCCGATCTCTCTTCTCTGTTCTCTGGCCTGGGAATCAGGACATCTCAGAATTTTTTTCTACCATTCCCTCCCCATTTTTAATATTCATTATATATGTGTGAATGTGTACCGTGTAAGTGCCTGAAATTATAAATGATTGTTTGCCACGATGTGGGGTGTTGGGACTCAAACCCAGGTGATGTAAAAGCAACAAGTATTCTTAATTGCTGAACCATCTCTCCAGCCCCTCCCCATTTTCCACTGACCTCTTTCAGAGAAAGCATCCCAGGTGATTTCTGGGTTGTTGTTTTTTTTTTTTTGTTTTTTTTGTTTTTGTTTTTTGTTTGTTTGTGTTTTTCTGTTTTTAAGTAATCTTGTGTTCAGGTCTCATTCCTGCAAAGTTGTAGTCTAAAGGAGGGAGGTTGACATCTCCTTTGGCCCAGTTCCCACACGTGGTAGGGGCAAGAGGATGGTGGGAAGAGACTATCTAGCCACCATGTGGCCTGCTCTGTATTTTTAGAAGTGGCTGGTTTTGGAAAGGCGTAGGCAGGTAGTTCAGGGTTTTTTTGAGCAAGCATAATGTGGCTATAATTTGCACTACCAATTTAAATCGTTGCCAGAGATAAAAGCATTTAGAGATTCTAACAAAGGACTGCAACATAGAACTGTTATTTTTTGTTTTGTTGTTGTTATTTGTTTGTTTGTTTGTTTTTTTAGGACAGGGTTTCTTCTTTGTAACAGCACTGGCTGTCTTGGAACTCACTCAGTAGACCAGGCTGGCCTCAAGACTCAGATCCGCTTGCCTCTGCCTCCCGAGTGCCAGGGGTAAAGCTGTGCCCCACCACTGCCCGGCTGCAGCATAGAACTATCAGGCCAGCCTGTAATCATTATTTTTTTTCTGAACAATGGAAATATTTAGTAACTAACTAAAAATCCACCAACAGACTCAGTCCGGGGAGCTGGGTGGTTTCCTAGTGTTTTCCGCATGGGTCTTTGTTGCCCACCCAGCAGGATGCTCAGCCAGCACGCCTCCTTCACTCTGTTGGTGTACGCACCTCAAGGCGACTTGGTCGTCCTAGCCACTGCTTTTCTAATTGTGTAGTGGAGAGGTCACCCCGTCAGCAAGCTGAGGGGAAAGCTGACCCATGTTGATGAGAGCAGCACTTCATCATTGCAAAAATACTCTTCCCTAAGGGAGTGCAGAGCCAGCCTCCTGTTCCTGGTAAACCCTGTGAAGATTTTGGCCAAATAGAGCCCCCATGGAAAATGAATTGCTTCCGTGATCAAAGAAGGGTTTGGGTGACCCCTGTTGGTTTCTTCGGAGTCAGGTTAGGGTACAGGTGCACCGTCTTGTGTCTTAGGGTCTCTGGGTGGCCATCCTCTCCCCAAGCACTGCAGATTTGGCATGTTTATATGACTTGGTTTTACATGTGTGGTAAGCCACAGGTCGGTCCCACGGGATCCAGGTTAGATCTTAGACAGTCCACTGAGGTGTTTTCTTAAAGCTTTTACTTTTACTTCAGCACCTGCCTGTTAGGCCGTAGTATGGTAAATTTGGGGGAGTAGCTGCCTGCAAGGATGAGCACTTGGCATGGCTTGACTAGAGCTACCAGCTGGCCAGGCAGATGTGAGGTTGGAGTCAGCATCTCTTGATCTTTGACTGACAGTCCTGAGGAGGAGGAAAAGGAGGAGGAAGTGCTGCACACGGTTATTGTGAGAATTTTGCATGGGCTGGAGGTGGTGAGATTCTGACTAAGCAATCCGCTCTGTCTGGACAAAAGGGACAAGAATAATTGTCCACAAAAACCTTGTTAACAACCCAGTGTGCTAGCATGTACCTTTAATCCAAGTACTTGGGTGGCTGAGGTGAATTTTGGTCTATACAGTGAGAGCTTGTCTCAAACAACAACAAAAAGAGGCTGAAGAGATGGCTCAGTGGTTAGATGTATTGGCTGCTTTTCCAGAGGACCTGGGTTGAGAACTGTCTCTTAACACCAGTCCCAGGAGATCTGATGCCCTCTTCTGGCCTTTATAGGCACAGACGTACATGCGGGCAGACTACCCCTATAACAAAATAAATAAATCTTAAAAATTTTTTAATTAAATCTTTTGTTATTTTTTTAATTGCTCACAAATCTTTATTCACTAACGGGGTGATCTTTCCCTCCCCCAGGCTGCTGCCCCTCTTGAGGGTTCCAGCTGAGCTCAGAATCCTATCAGGGGAAGGTCCTGGGGGTGCCTCATCCTTATCGTTGGGTTGCTGGTCTTTGTTGTCAGGAACAAGGTGGGGAGGAGGGACCGCTGGCCATCAGCACTCAGAGCTCCATGATATCCCTAGATGGGGATGCTAGGTAGTAGAGACTTGGCATCCCCCAGCCTCGGCAGTCTAGAGCCTCAGGGATCAGGCTCCCAGGATGGTGCCAGAGAAGCAGCGCTGGACAAGGGGACCTGAGATGTGGTGGGACTTGGGGGAGAGTCTCGGGGGGACTGTAGTAGGGGTGCTCGTTACGTAGGCTGACGCAGGAGAAGTGGGTGGGCATGTTCTCCTCAGGCAGGAACTGCTTGCGCAAGGCTTCCCTGGCGTCCAGTGGTGGCCCATGGCTCCCAACTTAGGGGGCCTCACTCCAGGGGCTGTTGCAGGATCAATACAGTTCCGGGTCCTGCAGATAGAGGGGTGGGATCCAGGCATACCTATTGTTATTTTTAGTGACTTAAGTAACAATCTAAAACACAAGGGCACTAACTAGCTTTATGTAACATAACAAAATTTCAGTCAAAAATACTATCAAGAACAAAATTAGTACAGTAACTATAGAGTAAGCAAAGGGTGTCCAGCAAGAACCAGCAGTTCGAGGGGTTGGAGAGATGCTCAAAAGTTAAGAGCATTTGTTCTTGCAGAGGACCCAGGTCCAGTTCCCAACATTCCCATGGTCCCTCACAACGATCTGTTCCCAGGTTCTCATGGCCTCTTGATCTCTGAGGTCACCAGGCACTCACAGGTTGCAGATACATGCATATAGGCAAAACAGTCATATACAAAAAAGTTGTTTTGTTTTTGTTTTTGTTTTTTTGTTTTTGAGACAGAGTTTTTCTGTGTAGCCTTGGCTGTCCTAGACTTGCTTTGTAGACCAGGCTGTCCTTTGACTCACTGGATTCACCTGCCTCTGCCTCTGCCTCTGGAGTGCTAGGATTAAAGGTGTGTGCCACCATGCCTGGCTACACACACACACACACAAATCTTTTAAATTTTTGTTTTTTTTTTATTAAACAAACAAACAAAAAAATCATGTCCAGCTTATGTCCAGCCAGCACTAGCTCTCTCTGGTCAGAAAGAAGCCCAGAGCCAGTGCCAAACATCCCAGTGATGTCAAGTGGCAAGTGGAGTCACTCTTTTGACTTGGCCACAGCATCCTCACCAACCTTCTGAAAGGTCTTCTCCAGGACATCTGTTCCCAGTAAATGAAACCAGCGGCCTGGGTAGGTAGGAGGCCACTCTCCTTGCTGCAGTACGAAAGATGGTTTTACCGAAGAGGGGTTTTCCTTTAACAGCCTTAATAAGTTCTTAGAAACACCTGAGACTTGCCTTTTCAGCAGCTAAAGAGGCTCGGGCCCCAGAGGAGGATGTTTAAACATCTGTGTTTCCCAAGGGGGTGGATTTGAAATTGCAGAGAACTGAAGGTCAGCCTTTGGACCAAGCAGTGTTGAGAGTTCCTATAAATTTAGCTGAGGCTTTAGTTTCATTTGTCCTTTCTGCCAGCCCAGAGGGCTGGAGGAGGTAGGCACATCTTGAAAGTGTAATGAGACTGGATGGAACCCCAGAAGGCTCAGCTCCCTTGCCCCTTCTACTATGGGAGGACCCTGGGTCTTCTTGGTTTTTCGAGACAGGTTTCTCTGTGTAACAGCCCTGGCTGTCTTGGAGCTCACTCTGTAGACCCAGCTGGCCTCAACTCGCACAGGTCTGCCTGCCTCTGCCTCACAAGTGCTAGGGTTAAAGGTGTGCACCACCACTGCCCAGCAAGGACCCTCAGTCTTTAAACCAAAAAAAAAGAAAAGAAAGGAAAAAATGAAGGAAAGAAAAGCAGGCTCTTAGCAGTGAGCCGCTCTGCTGCACCTTCGCTCATTTCTAGCCTCTGAAGTCATTAGGCATAAATGCCTTGTATTACATGCTGCTTGGCTATGGTTCAGGCCATCATAGCCTCTGCTCCTCCCCTGCTGACACAGCCCTGCTCTGTACTTTCAGAATCGAGTGTCCCCATTTAAGGACATGATCTTATGCTTCTCAGAAGAGGACTGGTCCCTTCTAGACCCAGCACAGACTGGTTTCTATGGAGAATTCATCATTGGAGAAGACTATGGGGTCTCCATTCCTCCAAGTAAGACCTAGATCCCCATGCAGCCAACTGTATGGGAGGCGGGTGGGGCCTTGCTCTGACTGGGAGAGACTACCCCTGGGGTTACGGTGCTGTGGCTGATCTGTTTGCCATCTTACCTTGACAGGAAGCTGTCTTGGCAGGACTCACAGGTGGCTTGTGGGTAACCTGGCTCTCCTAACACATATAGATCAAGCTCATAGCTTTCTGCCCCAGAAACCAAATATGACATCATTCAGTGTTGCCATCAGCTTCCTATCATTCTTGCTGGACCGGCCCTTTCATATATACCCAGTGGGCCTCCGAGAGATAGTCCTAAGCCCTGGCCTGCTCTGTAGTATGCTGCCTTTAATGTTTTGCCCAGTTTGCCCAGGACTTGTTCTCCTCTGTAGCCTCAGTGGTACCTGCCACAGCCCGTTGGCCATCTCTCTTCATCTCTTCTTGGGCTGGACAGGGGTCGCCTCCTTGGGCCTGCCCTAGTTGCCTGCAGCAACAGCAGGTCTCTGTTTAAGCTGTCCTACCTCTTTGTGAACAGACGACTCTGCACTTCAGCCAAACCTCTCACCTGAAGAGGAGACCGGGCTACGGGTTATGGAGCTGACAGACCTCCAGGGAAAAGAAGCACCCCAGGCCTCCTGCTTAGGTGAGTGACATCACAGGTGTAGGGTGGCAGCATGGTAGAGATCATTACAGCCAGAGCACCCCCACAGCTCCCACTCTGTCCTGGCGACCGTGTCTTGCCTCACCCTCTGGATTCTTGTAGGGGAGTGAGGAGTCTGGATTTTGCTGTCGATTGAGATTGTGTTCCTCAGCCAGGGACTATTGTCCATAGTAGCCTTATGTTTGTTTGCACCTGACCAGAAAAGTGGTCAGATGCTTGTGGCTGAGGAATGGGCACAGAACACAATCCCTTTAGGCACTGTGCCTGTCTGCTCCCCACCCATCCACATAGGTGCTGGGAGAATTTCATGGAGAGAGATGAGCTAAGATTCATTTGCACCATGTCTGTGTACCTATAACATGTGGGCGTGTACCTGTGTTTCGAAGGGAAGTAGCCTTGGACAGAATCAACAATGACCTGGGACCTTCATTCCCTCCTATCTCTGCCCTGTAAGCTCACACAGACTATTTGTGGAAGGTCTGTGGCCTAAATGTCTCTACAGGGCCTTCCACGGAAGGTGGCTTTAAGATCAAGGCTGTTGTCTGTAGCAGAACTAGAACCTGCATTCTGCCCAGCTTCAGAACTGAGGTTCCTGGTGTCTGCCCATTTGCAGACTGTCTCCTTCATGCCTGGCCTCAGGAGGGAGCACAGTGACTTCGGGTCTTAGCCTGCCTCTTCCTTAGTTGTTTCTGAGCAGTGATAACCTGTATATGACAAATCCCTTTCTCCATTTTCTCTGGAAAGACCTTCCCAGCCTCCAGACATTCCAAGGAGAAGAAAAAAAGAAACGGGAGGAGCTGCAGGTGCCAGAGCCGCAGTCCTGCCAGCAGGTGGCGCCCAGTCAGAGTCCTTGTCCAGGTGAGGAGCCTGGTGTGAGGTTGTGGTGGGCAGTGACGCAGGGGAGATCGGGTGATGGGCACGTGCCTGTTGACAAGGACATTAGGGACTGAACTGCCGAGGTCCCTGCTGGCTGCTGCTGTGGGGTCACCAGCCTTTTGTTCTGCCTTTGTCCTGCTGTCCACCCCACAGTGGCTGCTCATTGCCTCTCCTGGGTAGATTGTCCAGCACTCCTGCAACACTGTGTAACCCTGTTCTATATGTAGTGACCATAGACGGCCAGAATCCCAAGATGATCGCTGCTGCACTCCCAATGTGGAGTCGTTTGTTTATTTATTTGGTTTGGGGGGGGGGGCAGGGTTTTTCTATGTACACTTGGCTGTCCTAGACTCACTTTGTAGACCAGGCTGGCCTCAAACTCCCAGAGATGCTCCTGCCTCTGCCTCCCAGAGTTCCGGGATTACATGCATGTGCTACCATGCCGGGCTCAGTATGGAGTCTTGAGTCCTAGGGAAAGTAACCACCACCAGAAGCTGACTAGTGTCCTGTCTTTAACATCCTTGGGGACCGGATGTTCTTCTGAATATCACACGCAGGCTCTGCTAAACAGGTCTCTGAGCACAGTGTCACAGTGGCTTCCACAGCTGCCTAGACTCACACACACATTCTCTCTTGATTGTGCGCTTTTGAAGGCAGGATTGGTATGTCCATCTCATACAGTGCAGGGCATACAGCCGTTTGTGCTGAGCTCTCTATCATGTGTATCTATCATTAGAGCATCTTCAAAACGCTGGGGTCTTGGCTATAAACGGGCTATACCTTCACCAATAGCCTCTTCTGAGCTCTCCTCATGGACTCTGACCTTGCCACATGGTACCACGCCTAACTTCTCCGTGATCCCTTCATGCCTTCAAAACCAGCACCTGGGAAACTCCTACGTATTATCAAGTTCAGTCGCCTGTACAGGGTACAGCTGTGGCTCCCTCTGCACTGAGAGCTTCTTCGTGCTGACTCTGAGAAGATGCTGCCCAGGAGATTTCAGCTCGGTGGTGCTGGTCTCTCCTTAATTACCGCTAACTTCTCAGCTCCCGTTGACCAGTATCAATACTCCCAACAAAGCAGAGGATTTTGCTTTAGTAGTTCCTGTTTCTTCTTCATCATGTCTGATTCCTCTCCACAGACCAGAACCACCGAGTCACAATACAAAATCATATACAAATGGCCCTGAGAGTTTTTATATCCCACTGAAACTTTACAGAACTGTTCTTTATTGCCTGTACTGCTCTCAGATTTATCTTAGTGCCCATAGCAACTCACTAAGCTCTGAACACTCAATGCCTTCTCCAGCCCAAAATTCAAATGCTACCACATGGTTCCCAGCCAGCCTGCCAGAGCAGTGCCCTAATGTCCTGGCACCAGCTGATCTTAGTCTATTTTCTATTGCTAATAACACAGTATTCTAAATGATATGAAACATGTGTATGTCTGTGAATATGTACATCAGTCCCCAGTATCTTCAGAGGCCAGAATTGTGTGCGAGATCACCTAGAGCTCACAGGCAGTTGTGAGCTGGGAGTCACAGGCCTGGATTCTTGCATCTGAACTCAGACCATCTTGCCAGTCCTTACATTTCACTTTTTTAAAGGCTTTTCTTGGCTAACGGCTCTGATCCACGGTCAGGGCTAACAGGTAACAGCTTTCTTCCTGTTGGTCTCAGGGTGGCAGAGGCCATCATCACATGGCTAGAGACCCAGCCCAGCCAGCTTCTACAAAGCTGCTCTTGAGATAGGGGAATCCATTATTTGTATGAACAGCGGTGCTCCTTTCAGATCATGATGTTCATTTGCGCTGAGGTCACTGGCCTGCAGTCCAGTGCTCAGAGGCTGTGAGTAGAAGTATGTGGGCTGGTGGGACCCAGACTCATTTCTTTACTGCACATCACCAGACACTGTTTTCTGCAGTTTGTTTGTTTGGTTTTGTTTGTTTTACTCTTGTTGCTGAGACAGGGTTGCTCTGTGCATCCCTGGCTGGTCTGGAACATGTTATGTAGACCAGGCTGGCCTCCATCTGCCTGCCTCTGCTTCTCCAGTGCTGGGATTAAAGATGCGCTGCTGCCGTGTTCAGCTTGCTTATTTTTTTATTTAGGTTTGTTTGTTTGTTTTTTTAACTGTGCTATGGATTGAGCCCAGGGCTTTTGTTTGCTAGACAAGTATTCTGTCAAGCCATACACCCCTAAAAGTTAAGGTTTACTTTTCCTGTGGATTTGTGGGAACTGAGACTCTGTCAGGGCCTGGAGATGTGTCTCAGTGGGAACCTGTGCTTAGTATGTAAGAGCCCCAGAATCAGTCAGCCCAGCCAGCCTCACAGAATAGGAAGGTCCTTAGCTCCAGCTCTAAAGCCACTGCTCTTGCCTATTTGCATGCCTCGCCCCCTTTCCTTCCTTGGCTTGCTAAGGACTGAGCATAGGATATCAGGCATGCTTGGCAAGTGCTCAGTCACTGAAGCACCGCCTCAAGCCTCACCCTGGAAAAAATAACAGGGACAGCAAACAAGCATTGCTTATGTCTTGTGTATATAGATGCCTTTTGCTTTTTAAATTGTTATCCTACATTTACAGATGTTTTGTGCCTGGGACCCACAGAGGCAAGAGGGTGTTGGATTCCCTGGGACTGGAGTTACAAATGGCTGTGAACCACCATGTGGGTGCTAGGAGTCAAATTCTGGTCCTTTGAAAGAGTAATAAGTACTCTTAACCATGTTTAAAGTGCAAATATATTCTTTTGTTTGGTTTTTATGACTTACTTGAGAAAATCTCATTCTAATCTGGATTGAGTGGATTGAGGACCTGAAAAGGCGGTTTATCAAGAGGCTAAGATGAAAAACAAAGACAGGATTGTCTTCATTTTATTTCACTATAGCTCCTTTCCAGCCTCAGCTTTTCATGTTCCCTCATAGGAGCTCTTAGCCACAGGCTCTGTCCCACATACAGCTGGAGTCTTTTTTTTTTTTTTTTTTTTTTTAATCTCGGGCAGCCTTTTGTTACAGCTGCTTCGTAGAGTCATGCTTGAATGTGTAAACATTTTACATGCCGAAGCACTTAGACTGAAAACTCTTCGCCCTCCCTTACTCTGCTGACTGTCCCCAGCACAGATGCAGCACACCGGCACACAGGTACCACATGCACAGCCCACAGACCATGCCCAGGTAGGTAGAAAGTCAGGCCAGAGTTGTAGGAAGCAAAAATGCGTACAAGTATGGTGTAAATAAAAGATAGATTCACTCTTAAAAAGAATAGCCTAGGTACCCAGGAAAGGACTAGCCCTCCTTGTTGTGGGCTTCTATGGGAGTTGAGCTGTGTGGAAGGCTCGGAAGAGGGCCTGTCAGCAAGCTAGTTACCTGATTGTGCAATAAAAGAGAAGCCATATTTGGCTTAGGAATAACTGTTCTGATTTTTTACCCACACACCACACATAATGCACCCCAATGCCACCACACTCTACCACTTTAAACACCATTCACAAGCGCTGCATATCACAAGTACTACACATGGAGAGACACACGTTACACATGTAGTTCGAACACCCCGCTTACGTCTCTGTTTTGGCCGTAGCTTGTGGAACTGGGCAGTCTGGAAGTCCGTTCACGTCCCACAGCATTGCCTCGTCCATTTTCCCTTCAAGGAACCTCTCACACTGTGTTGGTGTGCAGGCCAGCACAGCTGCAACCCATTCTTCCCGTCTTGGTATGGGGAGAGGCGGGCTGTGTTTTTGAGGATTTCAGCCAACTTCGGGCAGGTCACCATGCATGTGCCGCCTTGGTCAGCAAGCATCCCACAGGAGTGGCTCATGCAGGAGAAGTCTTGCCTAGTTCTAAATTTCAGCACTATCAGAAGGTTTGTGTTCATTTTGGTTTAGGTTTGTTTTAAAATAGCCAAGACTAGCCAGGAATGTGGACCGCCCTTTCAGCTTTGCTTAGTTTGTACCTGAGGCCACACGCCTGGACCTGTCACCTGCCCTCTCCTGCATAGACGTCTCTTTTCCTCTTATATTCGTTCCAGACCCACCGGTACAGTCTCATTTTAGCTGCACTATCTCTCAAAAGGCCCCGTCTTCAAATACAGTCACATTCCCACATCTTGGGAATTAGGGTTTAGCGTGGGTTTTTTGGGATGATGTCGTTGATAATGCTTCTCTCCCTGGCATCCTGCCAAGTTCATGTCCTTCTCACATGCAAAATACATTTACCTATTTCTGGTGCAATGGTAGTCCCCATTGTTGAGAGGTCATTTGAGCCCAGGAGTTGAAGCCTAGCTTAGATAGCGCAGTGAGGCCACACAGATCTATTACAGCACCAACTTCTGTCCAAACTCATCTAAAGCAGGTGTGATTGAGACTTTAGGTCTCACCCTAACATAGACTCCTTTCCAGATATAAAGCAGATAAGCTGTGTATAAGGACAAGGGTAAGACAGATGCTCTCCTTCCAAAATAGAAAAGAAAGAAAACTCCCAAACACATGAAACCTAATGGGGCAAGTTCTGCTAGATTCTGAGCTGAAGAAGACCTTTGGCTTGGTGCTGGCCCAAGGCCAAGGCAGGCTGACACTGAGCAGAATTGTCCCCAGTCCCCAGGGTATGCTCTGTGAGTCCTTGATGGCAGTGCTACTATTGTTGGTCCCTAAGGAACCTTAGGGCCATTCTTAACTCTTCTCATAGAGTAAACCATATGTTTAACAGCAAAGCCTGTATGGTAGAAAGCCAGAGCTGCAGGCTTCCTTTGTTGTATCCTCTTTGCTCCTTTTAGTGTAAAATCTTCAAAGAACCTTGTTGGCCTCCATCCCATACAGTCCAGAGGGTGTGGGCACCAGCCAAGGAGCTCCTCCTACACGGGTCTCTCCCAAATAGCTGCATCTCTGTTCTGGCTGCTGAGGGGATTGGCAGGGTTCTGGGAGGCCCAGGCACTCTCTACCCAGTGTTTACTGAGCCACATTTTGAGTTCTCTCTAGAAAGCACCCTTTTCTTTTGAAGTATCCGTCCTCCTGTGGTTTGAGTATGGCTTGAGCAGCTCACCCTTTCTAGCTCTTTCTGAACTCTGGCTGGCTGGTTCATTTCTGCTGCTCCGGCTCAAACTCCTCTCCAAGCTGACTGTTTCAAACTGGCTTCTCACAGCTTCTTCTGTTTGGCCTCACACTAACTCTAGCAATCTGTTACAATCTTCTGGCTCCTTGTCATTCTCTGGCTCTTCTGTCTTCACCTGTGTCCAGATTGTTCTCTCTACAAATTCTTTGTAAAACTGTCCTGATAAAAATGTCTCCTCCATTCCTCCATTCTCTCTTTCTCTCTCTCTCTCTCTCTCTCTCTCTCTCTCTCGGTGTGTGTGTGTGCTGCTCTCTTAGGTAACGTCTTTTTTCTCGTGTGTGTGTGTGTGTGTGTGTGTGTGTGTGTGTGTGCGCGCTGCTCTTAAGTAACCTCTTTTTTTCTCATGAGAACTGGATATTTTCTCTTTCTATCAAATCTTTCTCTGATTTGTCACTTTGCCTCTCAAATAGAAATCACTTTTAAACAAGGGTGCTTCCTTCTACAAACTAATTTTACCTTCATTGTTCCAGCTTAAAGATGTGTACTAAGGCCATGTCTGTATTCCAGCCAGAGTAGTCACGTTGCTGGTTTAAAATCCCTCTACAAACATGCACCTTAAACATTCTTCCAGTCTATCCATTTCCCAGTTCCAAAGCAGCTTTCACATTTCCTCATGCTTCTTACAACCATATCCATCCTTTATGGTATCAAAAGCTGTGAGGCTGAGGCTTGTTACAGCTCACCACAGATGGAGCTTTTCTATCTTTAATGTGTGTGGATGTGCCAGTGAGGCCAGAAGAGAGTGTCAGCTCCCCTGGAAGTGAGACTTTTGTGAGCTGCCTCATGGGTGCTGGGATTTGCACCTAGGTCTTCTGGAAGAGCAGCCAGTGTTTAATAACAGAAAAGTTTATCTCAGCCAGGTATGGTGGTGCACATCTTTAATCCCAGGCAAACGGATCTCTGTGAGTTAGAGGCCAGCCTGGTCTACAAGTCAGGCCAGGACAACCAGGAATCTATTAGACAGAAAAACCCTGTCCCCCCCCCCCCCCCCCCCCCAAAAAAAAAAAAAAGGTTCTTTAGGTTCTGAGGCCACTAGTGCAGGATCAAGGTCTTGTTAGGGTAGGCTTCCTTTCAGGCCTTCCCTTCATCCTCCAGCTACCTTTTCACTACAAACTACATAGTCTCTGCATCAGGTTTCCTCTTAAGAGAAACACAGGCTGTTTGGGGGCTACCTATTAGCCTCATTTTAGCTTTCCTCTGTCTTTTCATATTTAAAACTAGGGTTTCCTTATCTTCTCCTATATGTGCTTTGCACACATTTCTTCCTCTTACCCTCTTGCTCATCCTGCTGGTCACTTCCTTACAAGTAGTTTCCTTTCTGCTTGAGGTATTGAATATTGAAGGTAGAGTCTTGTGTGTGTTAGGCAAGTTCTTCTACTGAGTTAGCCAGGCTAGCCTTGAACTAACTCTGTAACCCTGCCAATTCTTAAACTTTGGTTTTTTGAGACAGGGTTTCTCTGCGTAGCCCTGGCTGTCCTGGACTTGCTTTGTAGACCAGGCTGGCCTGTAGATTTTTGTTTTTTATTTGTGTGCACATGTGTATATATACATGCATGTGGAGGTCAGAAGAGGTCATCAGAGTGCCTGGCTCTGGAGTTCCAGGTTGTGAGCCACCTGATCTTGGTGCTTGAAACCAAACTCAGATCCTCTGGAGCAGCAGCAAGCACTCTTAACTCCTAAGCCATCTCTAGCCTTCCTTTCCCAGTTCTAGGTTCTACATATAAGTCAACCTGCCTTTTGCAAAACTTATCTCCAAATTCAGTGGCATTTTGCTATCTTGGAGATTACTTCAGCAGTTGAATGTTTGAGTTTTGGGGCACAGTCCATTCAGTTGGGACAGACATGATTTCATCTCCCAATGAATAAAGAAGAGACCTTTGTAGTCTACTGTAGCACTTTTCCCCCCAACTGAAACCTAGTAGTAATTAATAGAAGAAAGTTGTCATTAACAGGCTCAACAGGTACCCTCCAGTGAGGGTCTAGAAAGTGTTTCACCTCTCGAGTTGCCCCACCAGCAACCTGGAAGATAGAGCATTCATGGTCGTTTTGGCCATATATATATATGACCCCCCCCCCCCCCCCCACACACACACACACACACGACCAGAAAAGCCACCTGGCTAGAATGAGACCTCTCAGGTGGAAAACCAAGAGGAGAAATGAGCTTTGAAGCCCAGCTTCTATCTCCATTAAGCAGGTTTAGGTTGGGGAACAGTGAGGGTCAAGTCCCGCTCCCTCCTTCTTCCTGGGATATGTTCCTGTGATTGTAGAGGCTGTGTCACGAGAAATACACTTGTTAGAGTCCAGGATCAAAGGGGGCTATGCTCACCTTAACTCTGACATAACCTCTGACCCCCTGGGGTCCTTTGCACAGCGCCCAGTTAAGTAAATATAAATGCCGTGTTAACATTTTTTCACAGGCAGGTGCCAGTTCTTCGAATTTTAGGTCCCGGTAGCTCAGGAAGAAGTGCTTTGGAAGTAAAAGATTAGGGAAAAATAGCAAGAAAGCCAGAAAGAACGATCCGGTTGCTACAACACCAGCAGCCGTTGCTGGGCAGCCAGACCCTCAGGAGTCAGAAGGACGCTACAGTGCCAGGATGTCTGGACCCCCAGTTAGGGGCTTCTGTGCAGGGTTTCTGAGGGCTGGGGCGGGAAGTGCTCTGGACAATTCCACTGACCATACTGGTTCCCTGCAGCAGGAGGTGACCCACCACCCCTCAAGAACAGCCTGGACCAGGAGGTGACCATCGAGATAGTGCTGTCCAGCTCTGGGGATGAGGACTCCCAGCACAGCCCGTATTGCACAGAGGAGCTGAGGAGCCCTACAGAAAACCCCCCCAGTCTCCCGACCTTCCGGAACAGCGCTGGGGCTGGGGCTGGGGCTGAGGCTCGAACCTCACCGAGGAAGTCTTATGTGTGTCCAAACTGTGGGAAGGTCTTCCGCTGGAGGGTCAACTTCATCCGGCACCTGCGCAGCCGCAGAGAGCAAAAGCCACACAAATGCTCAGTGTGTGGGGAGTTATTCAGCGACAGCGAGGACCTGGATGAGCACCTGGAGACCCACGAGGCCCAGAAGCCCTACAGGTGCACTGTCTGCGGAAAGAGCTTCCGCCTCAACTCACACCTGCTCTCCCACCGACGGATCCACTTGCAGCCAGCCCGACAGCAACCCATGAGGAAGAGTGAGGAGGATACATTGGAGACCGAGGGCACTGGTGCCCGTGCCCTGCTGGAGAAAAGCAAGGCCAAGCTGGGCTTCCAGTGCGGGGACTGTGAGAAGAGGTTCCAGCGACACGACTATCTGGTGAGACACCGCAGACACTGTCACCTGAAGAGTGAGGCCCGTCCCCTGCAGTGTCGGTACTGTGTAAAAACTTTCCGCCAGAACTATGACCTCCTCCGCCATGAGCGCCTGCACATGAAGCGTCGCTCCAAGCAGGCCCTGAACTCATACTGAGCAGGGTGTGGTCGCGCAAGCTAGCCCCTGCCCCAGCACAGAGCCCTCACCACCTGCCCTTTGCTCTCAGGTAGTGTCCAACTTCTGGTGCCATGTCTCTTCCTCCCCAGATAAAAAGTAGCCCCCTGAACATTCCTTCTACTGTGCCAAAACCCAGGGAGGCGAGGCCACTCCAGCCTCAAGATCTGCCTCTTAGAGACCTCCAGCCCTTAGAGACACTGGACTGTCCCTGTCCCAATGTCTTCTAAGGTTGGCGTGTGTACAGTAGGGAGCCGGCCAAAAGCACTGACCCTGGCCTGTCCTCAGAAGTCAGCCTGAGGTCACTGTGTCCAGGGGAGCATCCCAGAGACCCACAGATGGCCAGGCCACTGACCAGATAGGGATCAGGAGGTCATTTTAAAACATTTTTAAAGTTTATGCATCTATCCCAACTTGTCTTCTTTGTGCTCCAAAGATCCTTCGTAAACGTGTGATAGAAACTAACTGCCTGTCACTACTCACTCAGATCCACCCCCACCCCACCCCCGTTCTATCTAGGAGTTGAGAGCTTAGCCCTCGGGGCTCTGCTGCTGGTTGAGCCAAACCCTGGGACAGAAGCTTCTGTGAAGTCTTGTCCTTCATGGGTAGTGACTCGTTTGTTTAGTTTCCTAGCACAGTTGTAACTAGTTCTAAGCACAGGCTCGTCTAACAGCACGTGGCATTGTCACAGTTATGGAAACTGCAGGCCAAGTCTGGTGTCAGCGGGGTTGGTTCTTTCTGAGGCTAGAAGAGGGAATTGTCCTGGGGTCTGATGGTCACCAACACTTGACTGTACCCCTGGGCTTATACGAAGATCTCCATCTTCATCTCCACTGTGTCAGTCTCCAAACTTAACCTTTTGTACAAGGATCCCAGTCTTTAGGTTGGGGCTCACCAGGTCTGCTGCAGCAGAACCCCGCCTTCATCTGGAGTGTCCATTTCCAAATACAGTCATATCCCGAGGTCCTAGGAGTAAGGACTTCAATACTGGGGTTTGAGTGGACATAGCCACAACTCCAGATAATTCCGTGGTGCTGTTGCTTTTCCTGCCTCAGATGAACCAATGCAAACTTGAGGCGGCTTGCTTGCCATTCCTTTGAATGTTGGGTTCAATCCTAGTTCTGCTTTCTTCATTGCTGCTGTCATCTGCAAGGAAGAGTCTTCATCCATGGCCTTTAATTCAGAGCCTGAGATTCTAGGAGTGGTTGTTGGTAGGAAACCTCAAGCAATCAAAAACATGGTCTTACTGTCCTGGCACACTGGTGTTGGCCAGGTGACTGACTGGACCTGAGAACTGCAGCCAGGCTGGTTCTGTAGGCTGTGCCAGCTCTCAGCAGTCAGGAGGTCTGGGAAAATGAATTCAAGGCCTCTGGTGCTCTCTGTCCTGATTTCAAATCAAGAAGCCTCTATTCCAGACCCTATGAAAGAGTATAAGACTCTATGACAGTTTCCTTTTTTGCTCAGTGCATTGCCCAGAAATAGTAAATGCAATAAAAAAACATTTGGTCACACCTTGGACAAGAAATAAACTGTTGAAGCTCTTAGTTTCTAAATGGCTTTCTTCTCTTCTTGTGTCTGGAAAGGGAGACGTTGGGTCTCTGTGGTCAAGGGAGGGAAGACTTGCACCCAGAGGCAAGTGTTTCTGTCCCCTGTCTACCCCTGCGCTCTTGCCTGAGGCTTCACAGATACCTAAAGGGGGAGTGTGGTGCTATTAACTTGTGCGCTTGACAATCAGCTAATACACAGAAGTACAGGGGTTAGGAAAGGGGGTATCCCAACCGCACACCAAATGCTGCCAGGGAGCCCTCACCGCTGCCCGAAGTCCACTGGGGGGTCACTTCTGCCTGCACTAGGAGCCCTGTGTGACGCAAATCCCAGGTTTCTTCCTCTCAGGAGGAAACGGTTAACTGTCGTGAGGAGCGGTGGCAAACCTCCACTAAGCACCTGACTTTACTGGACCAGATTGGTCTTCATCTCCCTTCGGGCCTGCTGCTTGTCTGAAGCCTCAGCTGAGAACAGCCAATTCACTTGTCTTCTCATGTAGCCTGCAGAAGGCTGCAGGTTGGGACCCTACATCTGAGAAGCCTCCTTCCATGCGCTTGATTCCTTGGCATCCCATAGCTGGCACAAGTGCATTATAAAGATTCATTGAACTGAGATTCCTGTTAGACTCCACTCAACACAGGATGAAGCTGGTTATGGGAACACAGGTTTGTGAGCCCAGCAACTCATGATCTGGGGGCAATCACCTACACAAGTTTCGGGGGTCCTAGAGATTTGGCTCAGCAATTATGAGCAGTCTGCTCTCCCAGAGGTCCTGAGTTCAATGCTGAACAACCACATGGTGGCTCATCCATGCATACTGGGATCTGATGTCCTCTTCTGGTGTGCAGGTGTACATTTATAAGTGCTCTCAGTTATATAAATAATCTTTAAAAAAAGAATAATGACTTTTACCATGAATGTATTACTCGGTCTAAGAAAAATATATGAATTCAACAACAAAGTTTTTGAATGGTTGAGTTTTTTAATAGCTTAGTGGTAAAAGAAAACAAACAGTTGCCTGATGTGCGAGGCCCTGACCTTAGTTCCCAGTACTACAAAATAGCATTTGAAGCCATGGATGGTGAGTGACTTCAAGTAAACAGCTCTTTGGAGTGCAAAGGAGAAGAGGAGTAACTGTTTCTAGGATGGGGGAAATGACTGTTCCAAATCACAGCAGAGGTTCTACTCAGCATTCATTGTCCTCCTTTATCTCCCCACTCACCCTAGCTGGGAAACAGGTGAGATCAGAGGCCCAAAGATCCCTGTCAGTGTGGCACGGGTGGGAAAGGAGGTAAGCTTGTCTGTGGAGATTTGCTCCAAGTTACTTTGGCTCAATGATTTCCCCTTGGCCAAAAGCAGATATTAGATCAGGCAATGGGCAGATAATTTCTATCACCTGGCTGGTTCCATCAAAGCCCAGACACTTCCTTTTTATCCTCCCAGGACTATGAATTAAAACCCAGGACCTGCTCGCTAAACAATTACCCTATCACTGGGCTATATCCCCAGCCCTGTTTTCACTTTTACCAGCTAACGTTGCCCAGGCTGGCTTTAAACTTGTGAACTGCTCCCAAATTTTCTGGGTAGCCCGACTGTAGGCCTGCTTTGGGTTTGCTCATAGGAGGAACTAATGAGTCTCAGTGATATGGCGCTCTCTTGAGAAGCCCCGACTTTGAATGCAGAAGACACTGTTTCACGGGGGCCCTCCCTGATGCTCTGACTCTTAGAGTCTTTTCACCTTCTTTTCCTTGACCTTCTCTGAGCCTTGGGTGGAGGGGATTTAATATAGATATCCAGTTTGGGATCGAGCACTCAACAGTCACTAGTTGGTAACTTCCATATGGTTCTTTGTGCTGACTTCGGTCCGGATGTGTGTGTGTGTGTGTGTGGCATTGCATAACAAACACATCAGTTCAACAAAATGATCGGTTCTTCCCCAAGGTCTATAACCTCTCTAGCCACAAGTTCTTGGCCAAGTCAATAGTGCCAGGCATGAATTCCTTCCTGGAGAGTCCGCCTTAAATCTAGCTAATGGTTCACGCTACCCCCCACCAAGAAATCTGTGCCACTGATGTACCAATGAGCACATCTTGCTGGCTGAGTTCATGGGCCTCACAGCTGCTAGTACCCTCTTTCTTCCAGAAGCCTGCCTTGCACCTTGAGGAACTGTGAAAGCTGATTCCCTAGGGAGGAGGTTTCCTGTTATACCAGCTCGATTTCTGCCTGTGACCTTCATCAGCAGGGTCTTAATTCCAAGTTCTGATGGGTAAGCAAATGCAAGGGCAATAGCCTGTTTTGGGGTCTCTTAGTATTCCCTGACCAACAACTTGAAGGGAGATATCCCACACCTGGAACTGTGCCTTTTTGTTTGAGTTTGTGATTTTGGGGAGAAGCACTGTCCCCTATGTGGAGTAATTTCAGCTAAACTTTAAAAAAACTCTTGGTTTGTTTTTATTGTATGGGTGTGGGTGTTTTGCCTGTGTGCATGTGTGTACCTGGTGCTCACAGAGGTCGGATCATGTTGGATGCCCAGAACTGGAGTTATAGATTGTTGTGCTTTGCTACGTAGATGCTGGGAATTGAACCCAGGTCCTCTGGGAGAGCAGCCAGTGCTCTTAACCCACAACTAAATTGAAAAATATATATATTTACTAAGCGTATACAATAGTAGTTTCCATATGGCTTTTTCAAACATCCTCTCACCCCCCCCCGACTGACAACTCTGTTTCTCCCCTCTATTCACTTAATCTCTTCTCTCCACCTGTGTTCTATCTACTATCCCTACCCCTAAATTTTTCCTTCCCTCCCTCTGTTTGATCCTGCTAAAACGCTCTTCCTTTCCCCAGTCTGTGTAGGACTTAACCTTCTGTAACTAACAGACAGAACAGAACCTAGAGTCCTAACAGATGAAAACAAAACAAAACTTTTTGAATTGCATTAACTTAGCCACGCCCCCACTTTCCATCAATCAAAGGGCTTAGTGTCATCAGATAGCATCTAAGGTCTGTCTAAACCTCCAGCTGAGACTCCTCTGCTTTGCTGTAACTACTAGTTAACGTTTCCATCTCTGTGTTCTAAAAGTGTCATTTGTGGCTTTTTTTGTTGTATTATAAAAAAATCCATGAAACTCCTTCCATATTGGGATATGGAATTTGGGGTAACCTAACTCTGGTTCTGGACCATGGCCACTCATTTGGCTCCAGAATAAACTATCTCTCATTTCTGTTTGAGGTGAGAGCTGTGTTTCTGTATCAACACTGGGTATGTTTTTATTTGTTTCAGGCATTATGTGAGAGTTTCTAGCAGAACCTTTGGTGGCATTCAGTTTTCTTCTGCCATTTCTCCAATATCTAATTCTGTATTTTTTTCTGTTTCCTTCCCCCTATTCACGGGGAGGAGGTTGGGTTTCTGTGAGTTCAAGGCCAGCCTGCTTTACATGGTGAGTAGAGAGAGCCTGTCTCAAAAACAAACAAACAAAAAACCAAACACCAAAACAAAATTTCCAGGGAAGACTATTCTTTCTCTCACAGAGGACTGAACTCTGAGAACCGAAGTAGTCAAAGATAAGAGAATTGGCTTCTTAGGCATTCTTCTAGGATGAGCCAGTAACGTTCCTTCTAATCAGGTAATGGGGGTGTTCTTCAGTTGGGGGGGGGGTCTTAAGCTACCTGTGATGGGCTAAAGGTTTCCAGTCCCCTGGAGATTATCCCACAAAGTTAGAAGGAACGTTCTTGCTTTTGTTTCCAATGATTTTTTTTCTTTTGAAAAAAAAAAAAAAATTAAGAGTGTGTATCTGTGTACCATAGTGTAGATGCCTGAGGCAGCCTCAGGAATTGGATTCACCTGGACTTGTCTGTTAGGAGCCTCCTGACGTTGGGCACTGTAAACCAAACTCTAGTTCTCTTAAAAAGAGGTGTCTAAGCTATCTCTCTAGCTACTGGATGGGGGTTGGGGGGAGATTCAATTCATCTTCATTAGATCAAACTGGGACTCTCCAAGATCCAAAATGCAGTTATACAGGCAACCACACGGTGTCACCATGACTTCAAAGTCGTTTAGACTAACAAACAGTAATCTGGATTGAAAAGAAAATTTAAAAGTAAGTAAATAAATAAATAGATTTGGCAAACACGGGAAATGGTGATATCAGACTTGAAAGAACTCCTTCAATTGATTGCATTCGCATTGGATACTTTCTCCTGGAAGTCCTGGCGAGTCACGGATGGATCCAGAAGCAAGACTTCAGAGTAGCCTACCCAAGAACTCATTGTGACAGCCTCAAGATTTTGACACTCGCTTTCAGGCCCTTAGAAGGGTGGAGGGGCATCGATCTAGGTTCTGGACGTTTCAAAGAGACCCCTGCTGAGGAAAGCACTGTTTTCCCTACTCTGAAGGTGGGCCCTATGTCAAAACTCCCAGAATGGAGTGGGGCTTCTTGCCTAGGACCGCTTACAACATTGCCACCAGCTATGTCAAATCAAAGCTTTAGAGACCAGGATTTATAGAAAAGGTGTATTAGTTCAGCTCTAACCAGTGCTAGGGAGAAGGAAGGGGCGGGTCCTGCCACTGTTCTGTAACCACCTGGCTACGTAGCCGTTGGCAAATGTTCACACGTTAGCAGTGGGAACATTGCATCAGGATGATCTGAGCACATGAGCAGCGCACAGTGAGCCTTCACTGCCTGTCCTCAAGAGAGTCAAGACAACAGACCTGGACAGGGCCTTGGGCTAGGATACTGCGTAGAGAGAAGCACTTTTTTTTTTTTAAGATTTATTTATTATTTATACAACATTTTGCCTGCACAGCAGACCTTACTATAGATGGTTGCAAGCCACCATGTGGTTGCTGGGAACTGAACTCAGGACCTTTAGGAAGAACAGTGAGTGTTCTTAACCTCTGAGCCGTCTCTCCAGCCCCGAGAGAAGCACTTTTGTTTCTTGGCTGGCTGACCATTCTCCAGCAGAATGGTGGAGTTCTCACTGAGGCAGACTGACAGCATCTTAACGTACAAGCAACAAACACAGAACAGTCCTCAGAAAAAGTCGAGCAACAAATGCTAGTAAGACAATGAAATCGGAAAAAGAAAATATTTACTTCAGAATCTTCATAGCCCCTTTAGTCAACCACAAACAGTGAAGATCTCAAATGTTTGTAAGTAGAAAAACACATAACCGCAAACATAACATAGAGCAAAATATTTCTCATCCCTAACTAGAAACTTCCTTATCATCTCTCTCCCTCCTTCTCCTTCCTTCCCTCTCTCCCTCCCTCCCTCCTTCCCTCCCTCTCTCCATCTCTCCCTTCCTCCTTCCTTCCCTGCTTAGACAGGCTCTTATTGTGTAGTTTTGGATGGCCTGGAACACATTATAGAGACCAGCATGATCTTGAACTCACACAGATCCACCAGCCCCTGACCTCCAAGTCCTGGAATCAAAGGCATGAGCCACCATGCCCAACTGTGACTTTATTCTTTTCAGAGATTTCCTCCCAGGGAAGAAAATTAGGACTCATGGCTTTGCTGAAAAAGGTTTCAAGCAGAGCCCACATGAAGCACAGCTGGATTTATTAAAAGCAGAAAGAGTGGCTGGAGAAATGGCTCAGAGGTTAGGAGCACCTGTTGCTTTTGCAGAGGAGCTAGGTTCAGTTCCCAGCATTCACACTGTGCAGTTCACCTATGGTGTAACCTCAGCTCCAGGGAACTCAAGATCCTCTCCTGGTCTCTCTGGGCGCTGCATGAATGTGGCGCGTGTGCATACACACAGACATACCTGGGGCTGGGGAGATGGCTCAGCAGTTAAGGGGACTGGCCTTTCTCCCAGAGGACGTTGTTTTTGGGCTTTTTGTGTTTGTGTATTTGTGTGTGCCTGTGCACGTGTTGTTTTGAGGAAGCTGAGAAGCTTGGGACACGCACTTGCCAGGTGGCAGCCCAGGGAAGGTGGGCTTACAACACCTGGAATGTGGCTGGTCCTGAGATGTTCAGGAATGTTAAAATGCAGAGTAAATTACAAAGAAATTAGCAGCAAATAAATAGGTACTATCTTAGGGTTTCATTGCTGTGAAGAGACGACCTGGCCACAGCAGTTCTTATAAGGGACACCATTTAATTGGGGCTGGCTTCCAGTTTCTGAGGTTTAGTCCATTATGGTCATGGCAGGAAGCATGGTGACATGCAGGCAGACATGGTACTGGAGGAGCTGACAGTTCTACAGGTTGATCTATTCAGTAGTTTTTCTTCAATCCAGCATCTTTTATCTTACTGAGTTCCCAAATGTTGTCTTTAAACAAAATCCCAAAGGTTAGATTTTACCAATAAAACTCAGGAGCCCGATGCTGGGGTGAAAGCCTACTAGTTCAGAGATGCAGAGAGAGCACACAGCTGACCTTCCTACTCAGCCAACATCCCAGAATGAAAATCCTTCACCTTCTCCATGCTGTCTTAAAAACTTCTCAAACAGAATGTCCCTCCTTTCTACTTCCTGTGTATCTCTCTTTCCATCCTCCAGACTTCCTCTCACTCTCCATGTTTTTTTCCCGTGTTCACACACTGTCAACTGGTAGCTTGCTCTGCCTCTTGAACTATGGCCGACTTTGGTAAATCCTTTTTACAGAAAGCTCTTGGATTAAAGGTGTATGATAGGGCTGAGCCACACCACAACTAGAAACGGGTTTTTCCAGTACACAGTCTTGGGGTTCACAATGTGATCAAATTTTCTGCAGCTCTTGGGTTTTAGTTGATTCCAGATGTAGCCAAGTTGACAACCAAGAAGAGCCATCTCACTCCTCCAGCTAGGAAAAATATGACATTTAAATAAAAAAAAAATCAGGGCTGTGGCTCAGTCGGCAGAGTCCTCGCCTAGCATGCAGGAAGCTCTTAGCTGGGTTCCTAGTGCTGTATAACCTGCATATTGGCACAAGTGTCCTCGTAGCGTCGTTCGAAAGATGGAGGAAGGCAGATCAAGGGTTCAAGGTTGCCCTGAACTGTATTTGAGGCAAGCTATATGAGACACTTTATCAAAGTGTTCAGAATAATTGTCATATTAGGAATTTCCAGTTGTGAATAGCATGTATGTATCGACATTATTAACCCATGGATGTGTCTTCTACAGGTCAAGTGCAAGCATGCCCTGGCAGAGCCATTGCAAAAGTGCAGACAAAACTTGTCCCTTAAGTCTCTCTCAGCCAGGGTCCACTACTTTCCTCAAGGCTTTGGGGGCGTGTCCTAGGCCCTGTCTATCAAAGTGGAATTGTCCAATCAGATTGTAGTTAGAGGGGACGGGACAGTTTGTGGACTCTCGCGGTTTCTGATTCTTCTCGCTTTCTGTTTCTTCGGTTTCCGTCCTCACAATTCTTTATTTTTTAACCGTGGCTCTGCTGTAGTTAGTGTCCCTGTGAGGTGAAGACGACGCAGAGGACGGAAATTCTG